ATCCGAATCAAAGAAAATGTCGATGATGTCGGTCTGTCTGTCGATCCCTATGTACTCTCATTTCCGGCTAAACGGCTGAATGGATTTGAACCAAATTTGGTACACAAATTCTTAGACATAAAAGGAAGATCTGAAAATTTGGGCGGAACCGCCCGCGCACGTGTCTCATTTCCGGCTAACCCACTGAACTGATTGGAACCAAATTTGGTACACATATTCTTAGGGTTAAAAGAGAAAAATCGCTCATGTGCAGGTTTACGGGTGGTACCTGTGTTAGCCACGGCAAATTTTTTATTTCCTGGTTGTGCCTCTCGACTGGGTTAGCTTGTGGATGGAAGGTGGAGGTCGTTCAATGGTAGCACCCCCAATGTTATAAAACAACGTCCCAGGTGACCGCTGTGAACTGTGACCCGTTATCGGAAACGATGTCTCTCGGAATCCTACAGTATCACAGCGGCGTCGTGCGATAGCGTCGCGGTGGAACCATGCTGTGGCAGAGTGATGCAGTGGCCGGATCTCAATCTGCCTGCTCCTGGCTTTAGAGATGTTCAGTCTCAGCCGCCTGCTTGAAGTAAAGATGATTTGCCCAAACTCAAGTGCCTTCCCACGCTAACCGGTGCTGCTTATATTGGGATCGACCCCGTGACGTCTGGGACTGCAACCAATGGAGATGCCACAACCTCTTCTTTTCCATCGGTAACATCGGCGAGAAGTTTATAATCGGTCTGTGCAAAGTACAGCTGGGGGGTCAATCATTTCCTTTATCATTCAAACCCGCGGCCCAAACGCATCGAGAACCCCTGGTGTACAAACGCTAGAGGTATAGCAATTCAGTGTTTAATTTTTCGAGCACGAAAAAAAAATTAAGGAAAGCTTGAAGTCAATTTTCAGAAAATAGAAAGGGAGAAATATGTTTTAGTAAGAACGCCAACGTAAACTGATACCCCAAAGCTAGCCGGGAATCAGTTATTCATTTCAGTCGGAAGTGCAGATCAGTTAAATCAAGAAAGGGGTGCTCAACAATCCGATAAATGGTTCACGCGGTTTGGCCAATGTTAAAAGTATGGATGGAATAATGATTTTTAAAAGTGAGTTTGTCCGTTTGTAAATTACTGTTAGATCCAGTTTTGATTTAAATGTTGATAGGATTCCCTGTTTATAATAAAGAAAAACCAACTTTACCCCAAACTCCAACGTAGTGTCTGGTGCAATCGAGCAAACACGCGCGTTGCATATTGATTGACTTTTCGTAATGTGTTACAATAACTTGTGCTGTTGACATACGCCACTTACAAGCATTTTAGTGTAATTGCTACAGTTACCTATCTGACAAAAACATCGAAGATACGTGATTTACCGAGGAATTTATGTTTTAATGAATCAGACTCGCATTCCTCAATAGCGTCCACAAACACATTTAAGATACTCATCTTCTTAATTACTCAATTATTTGTACATTCCGCACATTTTTCGACTACTTTCGTATACCGTCGTTATTTCATAAAAGCGCGAAGTTTTCAGGGCAATTTTCACCCTCTCACAAAAATATTGTGAAGGCGTTCCTTTAAATTAATAAATTATTAATTAAACCGTGTTAAAAACCAGTATGTAATCGAGAAGATCCCATTTGTAATTCCCCTTGTTACTTTTTCTACGAACAAATTTCTTTCCGCAAGCGGATCTGAATATTTCATATCACATACTGGTAGAAATAGCGAAGTCACTTTATAGCAAATGAGAAATCCGTGTATTACATAAAGTGCAGTTTATTCTTACAAAGATGGCAATAATTTGAGATCAGGAGGGAAGACACAATTTCTGGTTTCATCAAATGGTGCAAGTGTCGGTGCGATATTTCATTTCATAGAAACACTAAAGCCGCTCCTAAAAAGTTGTTTTCTTGTTTCGGATGTTGTATGTACACGATTTACACGGATCTTAGAGGAACGGCAATGGTATCCTGCCAGGTTGACAATGCTAGCTTATACGTGATTAAAATTTTAAGTCCGAGCTGTAGGCAAGATTGATATGGGAACTTAAGAGATTGTGTCCATCTACTAACCTTTGTCGGACGTGTATGACCCAACTCCTTTACGGTCGTCTTTCATTCAACAACAAATATTGGATTAAACCAGCACTGGAAAAAATGTTTAACTATTATATACGCTACCTTTTTTTGCTTTTTAGAGACGGGCCTAAGCTAATGCTAAGGCCGAACCCGGTCTAAAATTTACTTTAACAGAAAATTTAATTCTCTACATAACTTCACCAGACCTTATTCCTCTAGAATGAACGGTTTTAGGGGGTATAAGGGAAACTTAAACATCCGATACACTACGTAGCTGAAAAACAATAGCGACCTTTCTTATATTCTTAAGAACAAACAATTTTCAAAGCCACAGGACGTTTCTAAAGAAAGTTATCGTGCACACTGACAGACAAACAGCAATACACAATATATAAACGATCTCAAGGATCGTTAATAAAAAAAACCAGAAACTTTCAGTATACATTTTGCCCCTACGACGCCTAGCCTTTGAGGCATAAGCAAGAAAGAAAATTCTTCGTAATATTTTCCTGAATATCCACTCGGAATATAGCTCTAAAGGGTTTGCAAAAATTTTTCTTAGGGCCAATATAATGAAGGAGTCAGATTACTTGGAGGCGAACTTTCTTCGTGGCAGGATTCTTGTGGGGGGCAGTTTTATGTTGGTCTAATATGATTGAGTGAGATGTCAAACGCTTCCTTGGGGCAAAATAGAATCAGACTCAGTTTGGTTTTCCAAAGGTAAGTTTCCGGATCCAAAGTTACATGCGCGAGTTAACTCTTTTGCTGCTTTCTTTGAGAGTATTCGACATTATCGGGGCTAATAAATTAATCAGGATCGAATTTTCTTGCTAAAGATTATAGAATGCTTTCAGGGCGAGTGAATTTTCCAAAAACTCCCACAATTTAGATTGAAGTGACCGAAATTAAACAGTTAGTCCCTTCCAATGACTGAAAATAGCATTCGATTCAGCAGTTTCCAGATTATAAAAATTCGTCACTTTTTTCGGATTCTTTCCGTTCTTGATGAATTCGCATGGCTATTTCGGCGAACGCTTCAGATTGTATCGATTTCTTGGAATCTTCAGTTTCAGATTCTGTGGACTTTTTAATTAGTCAAATGAATCAGAATCTTTGGATTTCCGCTTTCTTCAGATTCACCCGTTTCGCATAATTTTTGCTGTTGTTTAGATTTATCGAAAGGTTCCCAAATTTTGCAATTCTTCAGGATTTCCAGGTTCCTTTGGATGTTTAGAAATAGCTCCATTTTTTAGTTTATCCCTATTTTACACTTTCTTCAGGACTTCCAGATTCTCCGAATTCTTCATTTTTCAGTTTCATCGAATTCTTGCGGTTCTTAAACTTTTGAGCTCTCGCTTCGTATGTTTATTTTCTTCGAATTCTTCAACTACATCAGATTACTCGCATGCCTTCTTTAGATTTGTCTGCTTCTTCAACTCCATCAAATCTTCTGTTATTAAAATTCTTTAAAATATTTTTTAATTCTTCAGAACTTAATATTCCTGTTTCAGATTGTTGTGATTTTTCCATTTATTTGAATTCTTTCATCCCTTTGAATTATTTCGATTTTCCTCTTTTAGTACTCCGGCTGGTTCGGATCCTTTTGATTCTTGACACTCGTTAAATCCTCCAGTTCCTTCAAATTTTAAGATTTTTAAAACTCTTTGAATTCTTACGTTTTTTCGGTTCTTCAAATTGTGTGGGTTTTTTCGTATTCTTCGGACCATAGGAGTACTTCGGATGCTTCCGATTCTTCAGTTTAGTTGGGCTTTTCGGATGTGTTAGATTTATTGGATTGTTCGAATTTTTAAATTTCTGCATATGCAGCAGATCTATTATCCAAACATAACATAAAATCATTACATAACCTTCAATTTTGTTTTCTAGTAAGTTTAGTTTACGTAGTCCATACGTCCAAAACTTGAAGTCTTGTCGTCTGATAAAATGAGACAAGAATAGTTTACTGGCAGATGACCATTCCTGATTAGAATTTGTTAATCTGTCACCAACAGGGAGCAATCTTAGTGGTATTTGGCCTCCATTTGCCTTTAAAACAGATACACTGTAAGTCTAAAAAATTTGCTGGTAGCACAGGTAGGTATCGCCCGGACACCTACGCATTCGTTTTCTGCCCAAAAGCTCTTCAGCCCTTTCTTTTATGTCTAAGAAAACGTGTGCTTAATTTGGTTCCAAACGGTTCAGCCGTTGAGCCGGAAATGAGAATTTGGCACACTTGCGCATAGGAGATTCTGCTCAACGGCTTTTCAGAGCTTCCTTTTATGTTTAAAAATATGAGTACCAAATTTGGTTCCAATCGGTTCAGCTGTTTAGCCGGAAATGAGAGTGCAGACTGACCGACAGACTGACCGACATCATCGAGATTTTGTTAGATCCGGATCTTTGGTGCTTCAAAACGTGTATTTCCGCCTAAAAAGGCGTGGGGGGCCATATTTTACCTCATTGCAATACCTCCCTTACTAACGTGCGGGTGATAAATTAACAATAGTGACGTCACCATTATCACAAACATTTTGAAGGCGCAACTGCCCCATTTAATTACCCTGGTCCCGGGCGCAAATGTCCATAATTCCGAATTTAGCGAATTTGGTCACAGAATGAAGAATTGAGTTTTCCCAGGGGTTTTCCCGAACAATAAATTCCATTAAAGCAAGGTTAGTTGGTATTCCCCAGGGGCGAATATTTCGGAAGCGCACCTACCGAGAGCGAATCGTTCCAATGACGAATTGTCATGATTAAAGTGGTCTCCGTTTTGGTATTGGGGGTGAATTTGTCTCTAAGGGTCTATCACAACGACGCTAATTATAAAATCGTTTGTTTTTTGTGAACCCGGCGGAACCTATGGGTGTATTTTTGCCTATTTCAGTAATAGCAAAGAATACTTAAATACTCTTTGGTAATAGAATAATTCAAGTTCGCCACAAATAATTTTATTAAAGGGATGAACCACATAATAAACACAAAATTGTGCATTTAACCCATAATTAAGTTTGAGGTGATTTTGCACATATACAAATTGAATAAGGGTGGCAGATAGCAACCAGTAAAAATTATAGCTGGCCAAAATGAGCGTTGGTACCTGATATCGCGATTAGTTGTACTTAATTATTTATTGTAATAAAATTACAAGCTGAAAAAATGCGCATTATTAATTTATTGACGTTCGCAGCTCCTGTTGCACTTGCGGAAGTCCTCAGAGCCAAATTGGTAACTTTGAAAGCAACTGTTAAAACACCCATCCACCTCGCACCATATACCTATAGAAATGGATGGTAACATTGCACAATGTAAGACACTCTGTATTAAGTGTACGTACCTGCGAGGAGTAAAATGAGAGTAACAATCAAAAGTAGAAGTTTTGCGTACATTGTTATTGTGGTACTGACTACTTTTTAGTAGATTCCTTAATATGAAGGTATGGTGGGAGTGGTTTGTTTACAACCTGTATGATTAGTAACCGACCTTGTAGTGTTAGTAAACATGGTAACAATAAGACGCAACTATTGTTAAAAACGAACCGCAAGCTGCCAATCCTTTATAACGCATTTGCCATATAATCACTTAACATTAAAATTACCCCTTAGGTGATCCAAAAGTACTGCGCACAGTTTGAAATTCCCGCAAAACAGAAAAATCTTCAAGTTGGTACGCACCAAATGTCAATTATTTAAAAGCATTGGCAGACCAATTTTATGGGAAACTAAAAATAATCGCAATTAATTAATTAAAGAAAATTCATTTTTTTATATAGCACGTAAAAAAAGTACCTACTATATTGAGTAGCATTTTTTATTACTACTCCAGCGATATATGTCACACACAAAAGACATTCGTGACGCATGGGCACAGATTCGTAACTACCATTATAGTTATTTATGCATCAAGGGCATTAAGGCGATATTCCGAGGGTTAAATATCGAGTAATGCCTGAGGTGCATACACAATTTTATTTTTCATCGTTCCAAATAATGCATTTCCAATATACAAATGTAATAATTATTGTTTGCCCAACATTAAAGTGCTTCATACGAATCAAGTAGCATCTTTCTTATTACATAATATAACTCCGTAAATATATTTGACAGGTCGTTTGAGGGCATAATGAAATGACAATCCATTATGCCCTCGGGCGCCATAGACTGCATTATATATCTCATATGACAGATATAATTGGCATATAATAGGCAAATGAAAAATAAAATCTATTACGGGAAGGAAAAATTTAAAGTCCAAGCCCTAACCTCTACAAGGAATTTTATAAACAGCTTTCTACTATAGGATAAGCAGCTACCTATTGGAAAAAGTATTTAAATGAAATGAAATGGCGTAGGTTTAGTCAAAAACAAATGGAAATTTGAGAACTGATATACGTGTCAAAGAATAAACACAATTCACGATTATTGTGTCCGATCTACCTTTTGTTTACTTGTTTGTGTATGGCATACTATACATGATGTCAAAGAAATTATTACGGGGTTGTGCTTACTTAGAGGAAAAATAATAATAGGTTTATTCCTAATATATCAAGTTACACTTTCATTTTCCTCCCATACCGTGAACAAAATGTAGGTTATAGATAAAAAAATACTTTTTTTCTTATCTCCCTAAGTAAGAGGAATAACAAAGAATTGCCCCGTGTTATCCTTAGAAAACAAAAAGTGTATTACGAAATAAAATATTGCCGTAGGGTCCTTCTTTTGTTAGATACATTTTGCTCGTGGGTGTTACACTAGCTTCATTATTATTTAGTAGAGCAAATATTTCGTTATAGAAAGTTCACGTAAATTATCCTGCCTCCAGACAGGAAAATGAGATACCTATTTTCAATTTTACGTTCGCAGTTCTCAATCAATAAAACAGAATAGTAAATGCACCTTCATAGACGAAATTATGTTTGATGTAGGGTTAAAAGTCGAATAGAAATTGGATTTTTTCTTTGTACTTAAATCGAAATCTGTGTTTTATTGATCCTCAGAAAAATTGAAGCTATTCAAAGTCGCTTACTGTTGGAATGATAAAAAAAAATGAATGGAAATGCTTACGGAATATTTGATTCCCTCTTCTTTGTTTATCCCATCCTTAACGATTCAACTGACTGTCGCGGCACACTATCATTTTTATAAAACAAGTACAATGGGGACGTGACATGCCAGAGCTTAGGACTTCCTTATTTGGGACGCTATAAGTGAGCATACTTGTTAGGTCTTGTAAATTCTTCTTAGATTGCTGTATGGGTGGGTATCACATATAGAAATCCCTGTATAAGGACACAATGGTGAATGATGAATAGTTTCCATCGCGCCGGTAACTCACCAGTTAATTGCGGTATTATGATTCAGATCAGAGATGCATAGCATTCTGTCACGACTACCACCTTTAATTATGATAATCGTGCTCTTCTAATCAATATTCGTGACAGTGCCCACTAATGTTCGTAATTATCATATTTACGACACGAACTTGCAAAATGAAAATCAAAAGCAATTTTTACACTTTATATCATTGTTATCATTACGCCGTAAACGTGCTTTATTCAACCCTATAAAAATTATTCCTTTTGCAGCTTCGGAAAATGTCTTAAAGGGCAGTGGGAAATGCTCCACAAATATGAAATGTCCATTACCTACTTTTTAATGCATTTCTGGAAAACATTCATGCAAGTTCTTAGTTTTCTGCAATTAAAATCAAGATACAGCAGAAGTTATGAGAGTGATCTTTCTTATGCAACTTTGGTTACAGCAAATGGAACCGAGGAAGCAGTATTTATGTAGTTAAGTCAATCCGCCATATTTGAAAAAACAGCCAAGCGGCCTTACAACTTGCTGCTTTTGTAGTTGAAGTCTAACAAATTATCGATAGTGGATATTCTTTGAGTTTTCTTAAAGCGTTTTCAACAAAAAAATTTTCGGGAGAAGCTCGAAATTTTCCACAATCTGAATACAAAGTTCACATAATTTATGTTACTCCATATTTCATGATTACTTTCAAGTTGGTAAGAGTGAGTGTAACATTCCAACTTCAATTTTTTAAGAGGTCATGTTGTTCTTCCATGATTTAATAAACGTTAAAAAATGATGTACGAGTATAACTCTACATGTGTTAATTAGCTCATAATAGCATCAAGCAATTCTCTACATGCTTTTCATAATTCATGTGTACATTATTTACAAATGAGCAGCCATTTTTGAGCTTGAAATACTAACAAAGAATACGTACTTCTGAAGATTTTCTACTACACCTTGATTGCACTTAATTTTTTCAATCCTGTAAGATGGAATTTCCGCAATATAAAATAATCTCGGGAACTTGGTGGAATTATTTTCGAAAAAACATCTTGTTTCGTTTTTGCTAATACTTCTATACAATCAGGATCGTTCGAAGTTAATCGGCGGTCGATAACAAATGTTATTATATGGAAGAAGCGAAAAATGTCCCTTCCCCTTTCGAGTGTATAAGGCGGTCGATGCTAGTCACCGGCTGATACGAAAAAGGCGTTCGACGTTAATGGGCAGTTGATACGAAATGATCGGTCTATGGAAGATGCAAGAGGTGCCCCGGGTTTCCTCTCTCGGAGGTCCATGCGGAAAAGGAAATCCTGCCAGATGCAAAATCCCTCTTCTTTCCTAAGCGTTCAAGTTTAGACTGCATGCGCCTTCAAAAGTAGTTTTGTTAAAGTGTACCCACATGTGTGTAAATCGAATCGTTCTAAAATCAACTATCATCGAAAATTGGATCCAGTGCATTAGTATTAACAATTAAGTTACGCCGCGCATTGTTTCTTCTGGCAGTGCGATTTTTTTCCTTTTGCTTGCGAATTGTTATAAAGAATTCACATCAGCACTACGTGGTTCTGAGGAGATCTGGAAGCGGCGACTGATACGCAATTGAAACTTGATCCAGCGAGATAAACAGTGACATACTTAGTAAAAAAAGTACTATTTTTGTTACTTGCGGTTTTTTTATGCGAATTATTAAAGAATTAAGCTAGAATCGCGTATATTTCCGTGCGTATTTAAGGGACGCTTATTAAATCATTTAAATTTGTTTATTTAATAGTTATTTATATAACAAGAGCGCGAAGTTCAATTTCGCGCATTGAGACTGAAGGTATTTTGACGAGGCGAAGCCGAGTTAAAATATCAGTCAAATGCGCGAAATAACTTCGCGCTAGCGTTATATACAATATTTTTTCTACAACTGAACCGATTGTTAATTAAATTTGCTGTTTAAGTTCAACTTTGTCACGTGCGCGAAATACTTTTTTTCACTGTTGACGATTTCGCGCACGTTGTCAAGGGCAACCTTACTTATTAATTAACCGTTTAAAAATCTAGTACTTCGCGCTTCGAAATTCATCAGAAAATGACAGGTTTTTTTGACAGAAAAAATTAATTGTTACATTGTTTACTAAGGTAGGTTAAATTATCAGGCCCGCATGGATATTTTTAGTGCAGTTAAAGAATTCGGTTTTTGTATTGTTTGAATGCGTGTAGAAATTTGTTTGAATTTCGTGTTTGTATTCTATTTGAGATGACCTTTTGTAATTTTAATAACAGTTCAAAAAAGCGCATGCTGCTGCTTTCTATCAAGTAGATATAGGAAATGTTCACGGTACGACAAATATCTGTAGTAAATGTTACAAACAAAACAAACTTTGATTTTTTACTGTTCTTTAATTTAGAGACCGAACGGACCTTGAAAAATAAACATCTCTCTTACTAAAAATTGTTTTCCAGTGAAGACGACCTAGATAGCAGGTTGAACGAAAAAGGTGCATGCAATGAGAATGACAGGGCGATATATAAAGAAACAAAAAGATTTAGAAGAGGGACAGAAAGGAAAAATTGTATACAGTTTATAAAATAAAAGGAGTTCTCTTCCAACCCAAACAATCAACAAAACTCTTAGGATATCTGTAAATCGACATTTTAGTTTAATCTTAAAATGATGACACCAAAGCCTAGTTTGACGTTTTGTTAAGATCTGGCCACTGGCGCATACGTTTTAATTCAGGTATTACGTACTATTGCATGTTAATGTAAATAGGAAAATATTAAAAAAAGCGGTGCAAAGGAACCCGATAAAATAAAAAAGTTCGTCTACGGGCCGAATAATCTTTTTGTCGTACCGTACCGGAAGGTCAGCTTCAAAACGTCGCACCAGGAAACCCCTAAGGACAGCTGTCCTCAAAGGACTCTTGCCGTCGGAATAGACGCAACGCAAATAGCCCAAGTATGTAAATTGCAACTACATAATACGTACAGCGTTGGATTTACGGACGAACATTTGACGTTTACTTACGGTTCACGTACGTACATTTCACGTATACGGTACGTTATTTTTGTACATGCTGGGTACGTAGTTTACCGTACGTACATTAAACGGACTGTTATGCATGTATAATGTACCTACTTTTGTTCA